CCAAGTAACGAGTAACATCAATTTCTAGTAATATAATTGTGGATATAAATATCTGAAGAAAATCTAGAAAATAGATTTGCTACTTTCACAATGTTACGATAGGAAACGAGACGAGCTATCGCGTAATACTTCTTTTTTTTTTTTGTTGTTTTCTGACAAATGGCAGTATCATATATAAATTTCTTTTAAAGCTTCTCAATTCTGAAAACTATCCTCTAATAATGCAAAGACATCTAGCACGTGACGTACGTGATGTTACATATCTAGATTAATTAAAAAACTGACTTCTGTTTTTTTCGTTTTTTTTTTTACGATATTACATACATGTACATATACATATACATATATATGTATATATATACATACACGATGATAACGAACGAGATAACGATGATGATACAAACAGATGAAAAATCGTAAGATAACTGTGCAACCACTATTTTTTTTGTACCAATCAATTGCAATTATCTAGCCCATAAACAAGAAATATATGTATATATATATGTGTATGGTACTGTTGCTCGCTGTTCTTTCTTCCCCCTCTTTTTTTCTCTCTCTCTCTCTCTTTCTCACTCTTTTTTTCTAGGCTTACTGATCCATCGTTTTACGCAAACCACGTCCCACTGTTACCCTGTTGGATGCGAGCTCTTTCTGCGACGCGTGATATGTCGCGTTCTTTTGATACTGAGGGACATAATGCTGCGAATTGACAGAGTGTACGTAAGACACAGGCTTCATATCTGACCGTACGAATGAATTCTGAATGGTGTCGTTCTTCCGTGAGTAATTAACTCCATAGTACATGCACTCTCTTGGTGATACCATCGGTGGTAGGCATTCAGACTCGTTTTTCGTTATGTCATCCTTCCTGTTGTTCGAGTCTTGATTGTTGTGGTATACTGTACAGGTCTCCGGCATTCGTGGGTAATTGGCAGTAGTTAGCGCGCATGGCGCGTACTTCTGGTTCACTTGCATGAGCATGTTCGATGGACCATTCCTAGCAATGGAGTCCATTGTGAGAGTGTACGGGAACGGTACCATAAGTTGAGGATCTTGAGAACAATTTTGATATTCGTTTGGCACGGGTACTCGGTATTGACTAGCTCTCATGTGAACGTCCATGGTGTTGTTCTTCATTCTGACGTTGTTCGACTTGTTACAACCTTGCATGTTTCCTATGTAATTGTCTAGCTTTACAGGGACAGAGAAATTCGGCGGGTTCTCCATCGGTTGCATCTGCTGGAAATGTTTGTACGGATTATTCTGCATGGATGTAGGTACAGAACAATTCATAGAGTCTGTCAAAGTGTTTGTTGGTAATACTTGATTAGGATACGTGCTACAGTTTGTATACGTTGGATTTTGAAACGGAGGTGCTGGATATTGTACCATTGAATTCCAGCCTTGCATACACATCGATGGAACGTAGTACATCGGATGCTGCAAGTAACCAGTTTGTTGGATGTTATTGAAATCCGTGTTGCACATATGTCTCGAGTTTTGAATTGGCATGTTCAAAGGATGCCCGTGATTCATCACATTTCCAAAAAGATACATATCTAGAAGTGGTAGATTCCATTGATTCGGTTGTGTGGTTACAGGATGATTATGAAAACCTGGCGGTGGTAAAACAGATGTTTGAGTATTATGCATTAGAATACTAGGGTCGGTCTGCATGACATTCTGATTCTCTATGGTATAAGAAGAGGTACTTGGAATTAACGGATTTTGAGAGATGATTGTACTGTCGGCCGTTTTTCTTGGTATAGTTTGCGCGTTATTATACTGATTTAAATACACAGCAGGCATGTTCTGATAGGGTAAGCCATTTCCCATGGCAATAGTTGGATTGCAATTGTGTGGTAACATATTTTGCGGAGACATGTGAGATGTTTGTTCTGGTTTATGATGCACCACATCCAGCAAATGTAAATCTCGTTCGGTATTCTGAATATTGGTGGTTGTATTATTATATTGAGCATTATTATCATCGAAATAATTCTTATTTTGTACAATTTGATGGTTTTCTATTTGTTGAGCATTGTTTGTGTTTGATGGATTTTGTAAATCGGAATAATACGAGTTTGCTGGAAGCTTGGTTTGATGTATAGAATTATCGGAGTACGATGTTGTTGAATGATGTGCCATATTAAATTCCTGAACGTTATCCGAAAATTTAACCGACTTCGTTTCTGAATTACTAGCACTTGTTTTATTATTGCTATTATTATTACTAGTATTTTCTTGTTCAGTCTTCACAAATTGTACTTCAGTTTCGTTACAAGAAGCTTGCAAAACCTGTGATTCTTGTGATGTATGAGTAGATGCGTTTATAATGGTGGAATCTTTGGTACTACTCGAACAAGAATTTAATGACTTTAGAGACTGTACATTATTTACAGTAGTTGAATCTAATGTATCAGTCTTGTTAACATTACTAGCACCATTACTTGTCTTATGCGGATATACACTTATTCTTGAGCCTTCGGATTGAGAACGCACTTTCGTATCTACCGAACTAATGCGATTTACTCTATAATCTTTTGTGAAGTTATTATCTGTAACATTCCTTTTGTGATCGTCTGGTTTTCCTTTCCCATTTATATCTTTAAAGAATGTCTGAAGAACACCTGAAGACCGCCTATAAACATTAGAATCTTTTTTAAATTTTTGTGTATATACTTGATCATCTTTCATACTTCTTTCGGTGGTGTTCTTCGTATTAGGTAAATTCTGATAATTTCGTTTGCATGGTACAGAGTTCGACTTTACTGAACTTCTCTCATTTATACTGCATTCTGGAACATTTGAATTTCTGGTGTTCTTTCCTGAAGTACTCTGATTAGATTGTATATCGCTAATTTGCTTATTAATTACAGGTTGTTGATTTTCACATTTTTTCTTTGATACGTTCTCGGTTGAGTTAGACATACTAATATTGTTATTAAAACCAGATGAAGTATTAATAGAACCATCTTCTTCTGGCTTGGTTGCATTTCTTAAATATCGTTGCTGTGATTTTATTAATGGTTTATTTCTATTGTATTGAACATTATAAGATTGAGTACGTGTTACATGAACCTTGTGACACTTCTTTGTGTCTTCTACTTCGTTATTTCTTCTGTCTGACTCGTTTTTAACTGACTTAAATCTTGTTGTAACAGATTTACTTTTTTCATCTATTCCTTCTACAGAGGATCTGCTTCTATTACCGCTATCGTTAAGTGTAGAAAAATGTTGTTTAAAAAACTGTTGCTCCTTCATTCGCGGCCCTTTTCCCATAATTAAGTTCTTACTATATCCATGAATTTTACTAAATTGATCAATTAGTCTAGGAGATGTTCCTACAGTAATCTTCTTCGAGTCTGTAGAAGTTGATGTTATATTACTATCATTACATAAATTCAACAAATTATCTTTAGATTTAGAACCCTGTTTTGAAGGGGCACAAGATTCTTTTAAAGAACTACCTGCAAGTGAAAGAACATTTTTTCCATTGTAATTTCTTTAATCATGTTAGAATCAACTACAAAAATTGATTTCTTACCTGCTTGTTTTTTAATTTTCTGATCACTTAATTTTTTAGTACTAATTTTTGTAGTTGTCTTTTGTATGCTTTTCTTTGTTTCTAGTGGTGATTGACTTTTGGATTTTGCATTATTATTGTTGTTATCATGACACTGCTTTGGGCTTACTTGATTACCTATTTCACTGTCTGACTTCTGTGAGTCAGACATATTGTGATGAACATTATCCCTAATTATACAAACAATATAAATTTAATATACAAACAGGTATCATGAAGAGATACTGGTAATTGCTTAAATCAATCTGCTACATACCATTCATTATCAACTTCATTATGCAATTCATCAGGCTTATTCCTTTCCTCTTCGTTAAGTCTAAATTGTTCTAATTGAACTGTAACAATATTCTCTGCCAAAGACATACTTATCATCTCTTGTTTATCCAGCCTTTGCATGACTAAAGACTGAGAATTTGGGTACATTGTACTAGTTACATTAACATCTTTATTCCAAACAGTTTCCATACTTTTCTCAGAAAAATCAACAACTTTTAAAGATGACTGAAGTGAATCTTTATTTATAATACTATCGTCTTCATTTATATCTTTATTTGAAGTAAGATCAACCTCATCTAATTCAGGACTGTTTGAAACAGTGTTAGTTGAAGAAATTTCACTTTTTTCCTTTGTTCCTTCATTTATTTTACTTTTGAACGTATTGTTTATGTCTTTCCCATCTGGAAGCGTTTTTGTGCTATAATGCAAAGATCACACAAAACATTAGGAAACATACTTACAGATCATTTCCTAATATTTTACATATCCTTTGGATACAAACAACTCTATTATCAATTAATATCACTTGCTTAAATGAACGTAGTTCTTATTATATCACAAAGGACATTGCAGTAACACTTAACAATACAATTATATGTAACAGTAATCAAATACATTTCTCACTTTTTTGAATATTACATTTTATTAAAGTATTTACAATAAAAGGGGGTAATTACTGAACTAATAATATGAAATAATATAAAAATAGAAAAAAACTAAATCAACTAAAAATATATAAAGTAGATACAAACGTACTGGCCTGAGAACTGAGAATTACTTTTTAGCCACTGCATATTATGCATCTTGCCGATTAAGGCCATCTGCTCTATATTAGATGTCTTTTTTAAATCTTTATCTGTTGAATCCATTTTACCTATTACAAATTTATTTACAAAAACTAAATATAATTCTTGACAAAAAAATAACAGCTTAATAATACTTCATACAGAATTCAGATCAGAGAACTACGTGCTAATCAAACTTCAAATGATACAGGAACAATGGGTACAATTTCAACATTGAACATAGGTGGTAACAATTAATGCTATCGCAAAACGTAAAATAATGGAACGATACAAAAAAAATTAAAAATGAAATGATTTCCATAATCGCTCGACGTAATGCGTGTTATTTCGCGTCAAAGTTTCTACGTTGCTTTACCAACGACATAGAAAATATAATAAAAATAAAACACTTTGTCCAATGAATTACTATCAAATACATTTTGTATTTAATTAACATGGGCATCGAGGACAATTACAATAAATACATTTACGACGCAATTGATATACCGGATGAGTACGACATTCTTGTGGATTTTTTCATTTGGAAATAATTTCATGATTATCTACAAGGAGGATAAATTATCCAGTTACCGTATATTTAATTCTCGGATGACAATCAAAATGTTAAACCAGAATCTTTTAGAGAAAATGTTTTTCTTCCATTTGATTTACGGAGATTAGAAAGAACATCCGACCACCGTAAAGGACGCCATAACACTGATGGAGAGGATGCGCAAATGCAAACGAAAGAAAAATTTTCAAACTTAATAGAAAAAAAGTAGCTTTCGTATAACCCTTTCTTTATATATTTTTTAGAGCGGTACAACGTTAGAGAAACTTAATCTTAAATACTGTATATGAAAAAAATTCATTATTTCATGGCTACGATACGTTTTTGAAATTCAAATAACGCACCCCTTAAAGGACATTTCGAAACACTGGAAATTTATTGGTTGTCACTCAACGAAACAATAAACCTAAACTTGTTCGTTTTAAATTACCGACTGCAGTAGAAATGCAGTCCCTCTATTGACAAACATGTGAACTGCACTTTCTCTGGATACCATCTCAAACGAAATGCCGATTCCTGCCTTCAGTTTATAGTGAGATCGTGTTCGGCGTGTGTATTCGTTCGATTGTTCCGTTTCGCAAAAACGATGAAGTAGTATCGACAATTTTTCTTCCTAAATTTTTATAACGATCTTATAAAAAGTATGTTACTGTGTTAACGGGTAATTTGTAATAGGTTATACTCCTTCCTATGTGTAATCGATATTTCTATAAAGAAAATGACACGTACAAACCAAGTTTTTTACAATAATTGATGGTATGTTTAATGATACTTTGCGTTCGAACGGAAATATGTTATCTTATATATTGTACTATGTAATTGTTACACATTTCCTTATCGAATGACCGCATTAGATGTAAATTGTTATGCTTAAAATTAATTGCTCTATAAAAATAAGTGTAAAAATCTTATTCATGTGACCGTGTAACACTTCTTTAATCGTATGTACGATAGTTGTCAATGAAAAGGGTCAAGTAGCTATGGCCCTTTAATAAAGCCGGTTCAGTTAAACGGCATACGAAGGATGTTACGAAATATTGTATTGTAAGAGCCGAAGTGTTCAATGATACGTAAAACAGCAAAAAAAGCACCTTCGCTTGCTATAACCTTTATTGCCGGTGAAAATAAAATCGTGCATTTTATGTGTTAGGTTGTGCTCTTATTGGAGTGACACGATTACTAATGTACTTCGACAAAGTTTGTGTGCCGTTCTCTCAAAGTAGTATAAAATACTAGGAATAATTAGCATAATAGCTCCCATTAAACTGAATGTACGTTCAAAATGTTGTCCTCACGTTCAATGTGCAGCTATTTTGATGTATATTTTTTCATCGAGTCGCGGAACTTTAGTATGAAGGCTGATAAATCTGTTTTCGCGTTAGATTTGTATTATCACACTTTCTGGAATTACTGAAACATTAAGATTATCCGCATACATTCTTACTTTATACATTCATTAAGGATTGGTATTGTCCGCGATTCGTGTAAAAAGTATGAAGGCTAACGGCGATTTTTCGCTCAACTAACGTGAGATAAATTTGCACTGTATCAGGGTATATAAGCCACCGAAAGGCCTTCGGTTTCTTCCAGTTCCTCGTTATATTGTGAAATGTGAACACCGTAAATTTAGACAGGTGTCTATTTCTTTTGTCTAATAACACATCGTGATATATAACACAGTAGTCATCTGAAACGCGTATAAGTGCGCCTCAGAAGTTGCGCTTCGGGGAAAGTAGAGACTTTCACGAGTAAAAAAATTTAGCGTTTTTGATGAATGGGAACATGTGTAAAACGGCACACATTAATTAAAGCTCGAGTTAAAATTCAGAAAAAAAAAGAAAGAAATTACTTCTGGTTACATTATTCCATTTTTTATTTAACTTGAAGGTACGTAATTTAAAATGGCCCTCGATACGATAGATCGAAGAAAATGGCAAACGAAAGGCGGACGATTAAATAAATTTGTTAGAAAACGAATACCTATTGTGGCATGGTTGCCAAAATATAATTCTGAAAAATTTTTTAACGATGCTATCGCTGGCATTACCGTTGGGCTTACTGTTATGCCGCAAGGACTTGCTTATGCTACTTTAGCTGGCTTAGAACCTCAGGTGAACAAGTTTTTTTTTTTTTTTTTTTTTGTGAAGCTATGAGTTTCTGAAATTAATCAAATTTGTATATTCTTTAGTATGGACTTTATTCTGCATTTATGGGAGCTATAGTGTATATAGTATTTGGTTCATGTAAGGATATCACAATTGGGCCCACTGCTCTTATGGCACTGATGACTCATGAGTATGTTCAGGGTAGAAATGCAGATTTTGCAATATTGTTAGCCTTTTTGTGTGGTTTATTACAACTGTTTATGGCTTTCTTGCGGCTAGGTAACATATGTTATTTATTTAAATCTTCAGTAGAATAGAGTGTTATCTGACACTTTAAATTACAATATTATTTTACAGGGGTACTTATAGATTTTATTTCAATACCAGTGACAGTTGGTTTTACATCTGCAACATCTGTTATAATTGTAGTTTCTCAGCTTAAGGGACTTTTAGGATTAAAAATCTCCTCACAAGGCTTCTTAGATACTTTAACAAAAGTGTTACAAAATATTCATAAGACTAGTTTATGGGATACTGCAATGAGCTCCTCTTGTATCATTATTTTATTATTGTTTAGGGTAATATAAAAGTGTTTATCAATCAATACTTATTTAATTAATTCTGGATGTATAATGAATGTTCTTATTCTTTAGAAAATGAAAGATATCAAGATATGTTCAAATGATGAGAAGCCAAATAAATATCAGAGGATAGTGATGAAAATTATATGGTTAATATCAACAGCTAGAAATGCTGTCATTGTTATAGCTTGTTCTGCTATTGCTTATAAGTTGAATTCAGCAGAATATGGTTCTCCATTTATTCTTACTGGCCCTGTAAGATCTGGTCTACCATCTTTTGGGTTGCCTCCCTTCTCTACACAAGTAAAAAATCAGACATTAAGCTTTACCGAAATGTGTTCAGAATTGGGTGCATCTATAGCATTGGTACCAATAATTGGAGTTCTTGGAAATGTAGCAATAGCAAAAGCTTTTGCAAATGGTGGTAAAGTAGATGCCACTCAAGAACTAATTACTTTAGGAATTTGTAATGTCCTTGGATCTTGTGCAAGTGCAATGCCAGTCACTGGCTCCTTTAGTAGATCTGCAGTGAATCATGCTAGTGGTGTAAAAACACCAATGGGTGGTTTATACACTGGAATATTAATATTGCTGGCACTGAGTCTACTTACACCATATTTCTACTTTATACCAAAGGGTAACATAATTATTATTTATACTATTCATATTTCCCATATTAATATATCTAATTATCTATTATTTTTCTAGCTTCCCTGTCTGCAGTAATCATCTGTGCAGTAATATACATGATTGAATACCAAGTTGTGAAACTGATTTGGAAAACTAGTAAAAAGGATTTAATTCCAATGTTTGTCACATTTTTGTTTTGTCTGAGTATTGGAGTGGAATATGGAATTTTATTAGGTATAGGAACAAATCTTGTGTTCTTATTATATCCTTCTGCACGTCCTTCAATACATGTTGATAAGTGCACAGTGAGTAACAAATTAAAATCTATGAGTGGAAATGCTATCTTTTACTACAGTGAATATGAATATGTATACTTTAGACTATCTCTGGGGCTGACTATCTCTTAGTAACACCTGGAAACAGTCTTTATTTTCCTGCTGTGGACTTTATTAAAAAATCAGTTGGCAATGCTGGCATAAAACAAGGCTCTAGTCAAGTACCAGTTGTAGTTGATTGTAGATATATTTTAGGAGCTGATTTTACTGCTGCAAAAGTAAATATTTAAATAATTATGTTTTAAGTGGTAAAGTAATAAGTAAAACATATAATAATAATTGTTTCGTTACAGGGAATAGCAACATTGATAAATGAATTTAACAATCGAAAACAAGGTTTATATTTTTATAATCCGCGAGCAGATGTTATTGCTGTACTTAAAGGAGCTTGTGGAGACGAGTTTCAATATATTTCCACTCAAGATGAATTATCGTACTTATTATCAACGCATCAAGGTTGTAATATAAATACAACTAATTTAATATCAGTAGATTATTAAATGTACACCAGTATCCTCCAATAGTTTTTTTTTTTTTTTTTTTTTTTTTTTTTTTTTTTTAAATTAATGTTAAGTAGTCCTGAAGTCATTCATCGAAATGGACGTTCATGCCAGGAACTTCATGAAGTTACAACTACATTATTACATGCTACAGCTAGTTAAAAAAATAAAGAATATATTATTCGGATTCTACTTTGGATTTTTCGAAAAATTAAATTTGTATATTTTTGTTCAAAGATCTTCCTTGACTTTTTCACTGAATCTTACCATGTTGACTGAACATTTTGTTTTGCACTTCATTAAAGTAGTGGCACGTTTCGTAGAATGTTATTCAATAATTTTCAGTATTATCAAATCACATTTAAGAAAATGCAATCTATGACAAATCATGCAATATATATCTTTGTATACATAAATGAAATACGTTATTATATTTCTTGTTTTTTCTTTTTTTTACATTTGTTATATCAGTAAGAAATAAATAATATATTGTGTAATTATTTATGTGTTATTAATTTACCCAAGACAGAACTGATAGCAACCACAATATTTTATTGATATCTAATAAGTTAAACAAACCTATCCTGTACAGTAATGGTAAAGCCACTTGTCACTAAAAAAATTTGCAAAATTCATATATTTATTTTATAACTACCTTGATGCTTTTATATACACGCATATTTAAACGTTTATAAATTACAGTCTTTTCATTAATGCAATATAATTACAGAGATATGTATATACTAATGAATAAAAAATAATATATTGCACAATCCATTAAAATCATATAACTGGTCCATCACCAAAATACCTATCTTCATGCTGAAAACTTACATGTTTGCTACAATTATCAACAATATTAATTACAATATAAATTAGATCATCAACTTAGCCGATAATACTTATCAATATTGCACTCAAGTAATATTTTCGCTTAAATTGCGATAAGTACTACAAACAAAATGGTTTCAATTTCGACGAATTATCTGAAAAAATGTTTAAAATAATTCTAATCTGTACAAGAATATATTCCACTATATGATACATTATCTCGTAAACTGTAGGCGTATAATCAGAATGAAAAAGTGTAAAAATATTTGAAGATTAGTTCTAATAAAGTCCTGAAACAACGTCAGTGACTTTACCACGATTTCCAACTGCAGATGAAGTCGTGTTTCTTCTACCAACTGGACTCTCCTTAGTCTGCTGATTTCCTGAATATTTTCCAGCGTTAAATCTATTCTTTCCCAATCCAAACGTGTCGTAAGTCCGACCAGCGAAAATTCCCGAATCCATCGACTTATTCAAAAATTTATTACCAATATTCTCGTTCTGACAGAACGAATTGTGCCTGACACCATTTTTCGTTAGTATTATCGGAGTACAATCGAAATCTAATTCGTTGTTCTTTCTATTAGAATTTAACTCGTTCCACTCTCGACTTCTCTGCTCCTCGTACAATTCATCACTCCTTAATTGCTTGTTGCTTACGTGTCCAGAATAGAATTCATCGTTTTTCAAATGTTTGCTCTTCGACTCCTCTTTCCTTCCTTTCGATCCCAATTCGAAACAACTTCTGGAATCTTCCAGTCTGCTCGACTTCGACCTAACAAGTGTCCTCTCTTCTCTAGACTTTTTCGTCTTGGTCTGATACTTGCTCGAACTCCATTGATTCTTCTCCTCCGTGATTACTATATCAACCATCGAGTCCAGACCTTCGTCGATTCTGTCTAAAGACTTTGTCAACAAGCTGGGAGACTTTGGAGCCTCGATGGATCTTGGTCTTCGCGTTACCAGTGGTTCCAAATTGAAATCTGTCACGTAGAACAGTCCACTGTCGCTTCCTCCTTGAGAAGAACACTGCTCCTTCTTGGCGACGTGAGACACATGATGAAACGATTCAGATCTACGCATCCTACTTCTCTCTTCTGTGAATAATTGATCCTGTTTACTCAAATTCTCCGAACTGCCTGGTCTCCCATAACTCTGGAGACTTCGATGCTCGTCGAAAGAGTTCAGACTTTCGAACTTCCTGATGTGACTCTCTATTCTACTTCTACCTGATCTCTTCGATCGAGGACTGGAGGCACTCGATTCCAGGTAATCGTGACTCGTCGATCTACGAAGCAGCTTCCTCTTTTCCACTTCACTTCTGTACTTGGAACTGTGTCTTTGGGAAACTCCATCCGTTTGCCTCTGTTTAGACTCGCTCGTTCCTCTGTTCTTCGCGTTGCACGATGTTTCATAACTCCTGCTAGTCTTCTTATCCTTCGCCTCGCCTTCGCTCATGTTTCTGAGATCGTCGAAGCTCTCTTTCACCTTACTATCACTGCCAGTCTCTCCTTCCTTCCTACCATTGCATTGCTTCTGAAAATGATCCACCTCTGTGTTTCCAATCTGCTCCTCGTAAGGCTGACTTTTACCATTATACTTGAGCCGAGAAGCACTGAGAAGAGAGTCACTGCCATCGCCCAAGGTTTCCTCTTCAATATCCTCGTCGTGAGAATTATACACCTCTTCATGGTCGATAAAGTCGCAGTGCCTGACCGCCATAATAGCCGACAAACAAGGTGGCGATCTCCTGGGCGGCTGAGGGTGTAGAATAGTAGGCACGATCGCTTCTTCAACGTCAGGTCCCTTTACAACGATCTTCACGCTGCCTTCCACCGAAGACTTGGAAATTCTACGCGTATCGGTGTTTATCCTCCTACCTACGCTCGAGTCCGTGCTGTAATCTCGATCGTTGCCAAAGTAAGTCACCTGTTCCCCTTTGATCATACTCTGAGACATGTTCGAATCTGTGTTAGACTTGGTGATCTTCGTGTCGGTCTGATGATCTCTTTTCAAAACCTTGTCGTACACGTAGCTCTCGGAATTATTCAACAACATTTTCGAGCTCGTTCTACGAAGCTTAGTCTTGGAGGAATTCTCGTTGTAAAAATCCTCGTTCGCGTGAGAATCTATTCGATTCTGTTCGTGATGATTCTTATCGCTGATCTCCTCCTCGGCGTCCTTCACGATGATCCTCAGCTCCTCGATCACGTCGTCGATCGTTGTTTCCTGATCGTTGTCCGGAGACGAGTTCATCTTCTGATGATTCGCTCGTGACTGATGCTTCGTGTTCTCCGGGCTGCTCGATCTCTCCGACGAGCTGATACCTTCGTCCTCGGCGTTCGAAGACATCTTCGGCGATTGTTTCGTGCTACCGAGCACAGTCATCTTCTCACGATCATCTAGGTTATAATTGTTCAACTTCTCCAGCTGTAGCTGCTGAAGCTGCGTCTGTAGGGACGAGACTTTTTTACTAAGGATCCTGCATGTTTCCTCGGCACGTACGACTCTTCGCTGCAGGGCGTCCACGTCCACGCAGTTGTGCGTCCATTTCTGAACCTCCTTATGTAGAAGATCGTTCAACGCGTCCTCTTCCCTGCCGTCCAATTCTTTCAGCCATTCTTGAAGGACCTGCGGCTCTAGTCCAGCTTCGCAGGCTTCAGCCTGGCGAGAAAATTCATCGAGTTACGAACAAAGTTGTTGAAAATTCGCCGAGAATAGTGAAATTTCTAATTTCTCTTTCCTTACCTGAATATACAATCGGGTTTGCGTCCGCGGAGCAGATTTAAGGAAAGCGTTCAGGAACGAAACTCCTGCGACTCTCAGTGCAATCGCTGCTCTGGGAGCCAGAAGTGCACCAGCCAGGAACCGGAATCGTCCACCTTCTCCATATTTCAACCTGAGCGTCGAAACAGCTTCTGAGACTGCTGCATGGCCGCCAGGAGTTTGGCAAACCTTCGTCAGTAGCTGAAAGAAAAGGTCTGGCTATTCTCAAGGGAGCTTGGCGAAACCATCAAGTTCAACTCGTTCTCCTTTATTCTCATCTATCACCGACTTGGAGTGAATTGTTACGATACGATGGATATGTTATAGAAATGGCGGATTTTCACGGGTAACCGGCCTAGCAAAGCTCGTCGACAGTTCCTCAACCAGTTCGGATAACGATCTCTTTATTCTCATTATATTCTTCCAAGGTAGTAACGTCTGTGATCACGTGCCGTGGCGGTAATTATCCAGTTCGGTTAGTCAACAACATCTGATCGTAACCGCGATGCTTGCGAGGTGCACTTCCTTCGGACGAAGAGAGAGACAGAGGAAAAAAAGAAGAGAAGCGGCCGTGCGCGCATGAGTTTGCAAATGAACCTGGCCGAATAACGTTTGGATAGACGATAAAAACTGGTTCTCGATGGTGGTACACTCTCGAAATAACGGGCCACCGGCCATCAACTGGGACCGAGTTTACTGGAAATCCTCGTTTACGTCTATCTCAATGGGTCAAATATGGGGAGAATCTTCGTGGTGTAATAAGGAACATCTGTGACCCACTATCCACCCCACTTTGGCCAATTCCTTCAATTTTGCTTATTATTATTCCGCGTCGCGTTAATCGCGTCTCGTTTCACCATTCCCTGGAAGGCCACGATCAACTTTATCGCCGTGTTTTATCGCAGTTCAAGCAAAACGTATCAACCGTGTGGATCTATTTATGAAACGATAACCGCACGATAAAACGGAAACTGAAAATAAAACTATCTCTCTAATCTGTTGCTGAGATTGAAATAAAGTGTGGATTAAAGTGGAACCCCTGTTAGAATATATACATATATATCTGACGAGGTATCGGTGTGTACACAGAGTGCGAGCAGGATAAAGGGATAAGGAAAAAGTTAGAAGATAAAAGTCGAGGAGGTCTGTTCAAAAAGTAACGACACTTATTAACCCTTTCGCTACGGTAGATTTTAAAGCGTAACGCGGGTGATTGACGGTCATTTTTTAACCACGGTTGCAAAATTTGTTATTTTAGCCTTAATGCTTGAAAATTCGGTTGACTGAATTAAGGTGAAAGTGCGTGAAGGATGAAATTAAGTACTGAATTAAGGTGAAAGTGCACCAAAACGCTGTAAGAAGTTCCAAAGTATAGTGCGAGGAAATTTTCGAAACGCCTACTCTCGCCTGTTATCAGATTATGTGTCATTTTTCTAACACTTCACAAGTGTTGCATGCTGATATAGAAATTATATCACAAGTGTAAATATTCCTGTGAAAAAGAAACGAAGGTTGGAAAAACTTTTACAGATATAGTTTGATTACTTTTCGAACAGAACATTTATACACGCACGATATACGACGGAAGGTTCATTTTCGATTAACAGTACACCCCTGGGATTGGCGATGGAACGGAAGTGACGATTGTTACCTGGAGAGCTAGAACTCGAGACCGGTTCAAGCTACTAGTCAGACAAACTGCCAGAGCAAGAAGACCGGGTTGAGCTTGCACCAGGAGCCTCGGTGCATCGGTGCATCGTTCTGTGCAGGCGGCAAGACACTCGACGCAACCGAGCTCGTCCAGAGCGGCTCTTCTGGTACCCACTCGTGGACCAGTGTGACCGGAAGAGGGTGGTGAACTTTGGGCAAGCTGCACGCCGCGAAGTGTCTCCAGTAACAAGGTAATTCCGTCGGCTGGAGGTGAAGCGAATTCCTGAACGAAGCTGGAAGGTAATGTAAGAACGTTAGATTGCAGGTAGGTTTGTAGTATTTGGTGAAACTGGAAAATATCACGCACTCTCTCGTATCTCTGTCGCTCTTGCTCAAGCACTCTTCGTTAGCGATGGATGGTTGGATACGAATTTTGAAGGAATTCGAGGATTTTTAATACTGTGGAAATTTATGAGTTACTTCGAATTTAATGTGGTACTTGGAATTCTTGGGAGGCTTGGTAAGTCTTGGATCTTGAGTTTTGATGGATTTTGAGGGCTGCCAGATCTCGAGTCTTTAAACTTTGGAATGATTTGGAAAATCTTGGATTTCCAAAAATTCAAATCTCTTCGAATCTAATTTGACACTTGAAACGTTTGAGAATCTTGGTAAATCTTAAGTTTCGATAGATCTCGAGTCCTGAAATTTTCTATAAATATTAAAAATCAGAATTTCCAAAAATTCGAATCTCTTCGAAATGTATTCGATACTTAAACTTTTGAAAGGCTTGGTAAGTCTTGAGTTTCGATAGATCTCGAGTGTTTAAACTTTCGATAGATCTTGAAAATTTTTAATTTCCAAAAATTCAAATCTCTTCGAATGTAATTTGACACTTGAAACGTTTGAGAATCTTGGTAAATCTTGAGTTTCGATAGATCTCGAGTCCTTACATTTTCCATAAATCTTAAAAATCAGAATTTCCAAAAATTCAAATGTCTTCGAATGTAATTTGACACTTGAAACGTTTGAGAATCTTGGTAAATCTCGAGTTCCGATAGATCTCGATTCCTTACATTTTCCATAAATCTTAAAAATCAGAATTTCCAAAAATTCGAATCTCTTCGAACCTAATTCTACACTTAAACTCTCGAGAATCTTGACAACACTCAAACCTCGAGTCTCTATATTCTCGATAGATCTTGAATTCTTCACTAAAAATTCGCACGAAAATCCTATCACTCCTACGATAACTTTAATTTTCACCTAGCCTTACTTAAACTAAAACCGTGCATTCTTCAATTTCCAAGGGTTTCCAACGCTCCGTTAATATTACACCGACAGGTATATACATATTCGAGATGTGTTACTAGGATTAATCTCTGGTATCTGTTGATTAAGCCAATATAATCGTTATAGTAAGGTATTTTAATTAAAGTTCTTGCGTACATTGTACACAAAGTGATACCAGGCGGACCGGATTCCCTAATTTTTGCACGGCTGACCGGAAGTACCGGTAACGGTACGAAGGCATTTACCTTGAAAGGAAACGAGCACACGCGTAACAGGCATTGAACTGTTGACAGAGTGGGGAAAAAAAAGGTATAATTACATAATTATGGGACCTTGCGATTAAGAGAAAAACCAATCCGGTTTTATAGGCGCGCTGGTGAGCAAGTTCCTTTGAGGTTGTCAACAGAACGATTATAAGAGTGACGGCACAAGAACTCGATAAACTATTAATGAAATAAATACGCGGAGAAAAGGACAGGGAAAATCTGCTCCAATTAAATTACACGCTCTACGAGTTATTCGAGCATTATCGTTAAACATCCATTTTCAAAGCTTACCCTCGCGGCTACATCGACAGATTAATAATCTGAATAATCAGATCTGTGAAAATTTCGTTCTAAACGTGAAATTAAAAAAATTACAATTTTAAATAATCAACCGTTTCGCCTGTTTTACAGATTTCCACTGTGGTAAAGTAACTTACGAAAAATAAATAATTTACATTTTAATCAGGGTAAAGTAGCCTAATATGAGACCCCAGCATATCTCCGTTACAGAACTCTCGAATGTCGCAGCGATGCTGTTTCGTTTCGCAATTAACCGCGTTAATTATCAAATTAAATATGAAATTTGATTGAAATCAATCAAGCGTCTTCGACAGGCATATTTGTGCAATACGTTGCAGAAAGTTTTTCAAGTTACCTCGAAAATAGTAAGTTTCTAATCATTTTCATAAATACTGTCGTATAGTGCATGCAACGGAGTTTCAGGCTTACTAGTTGCGTATCTAACGAAGATTCGTTAAATAACGAAGACTTAATCTCTGTCGTATAGTGCATGCAAAGGAGTTTCAGGCTTACTAGTTGCGTATCTAACGAAGATTCGTTAAATAACGAAGACTTAATCTCGAAGCTACTGGATTATGGGAGTTATGGATTGTTAAATAATTAACAATCCTTATTTTAAACTATAAACTTTTAATTGACACAAGGAAGGTTCGCTTTTCTACTTGATGGCAAGAGCACTGTATACAGACCGAGAATGCTCCTACGCAACGCCCTAATATCGCCTACGACTCCGCTAGGGACCGAAGGGCCTTTTGTCACGTATCATAAACATTTAGATCTTTACTAAACTCGATTTCTCCGAACGTATACAAAAGTAATATATACTTCCTAGTAAGGCTTTAGATTCATTTTTGTTATATCTACCTGACTGATAAATCTAACAGAAGCTACTCGAAAGTTCCTATTATAAGAAGAGTCTCATATTAGGTACCCAATTTTCTTTTAGCGTACAAAGTGTACCGGTCAGCCCGCCTAGTCTGCGGTGCTGAAGAAACAGATTTAATATGCGGAATGTGTGAAAAAAGACAGAAAACATAGTTTTCTCATATTAGGAACCCATTTTTTAAATCTGTGTATTTGCATAATTGTCCTTTTTATTTCATTACGAAGGAACCGAATTTTCTTTACCGTACATTCCGGTACCTTACAAAAGAATACATATCGTACTTTTAAAACACGTATCGAATTTTAACAAAAGTGTTCTTAGTCGACAGTTACGACTTGTTTAAGAAATGGGCCTCGTGTTAGGCAACTTTACCCCTAACCCTCTCATACAGAATACAAATTTCATTTTAAAACGATATTTAAACAACAATTTTTCCCAAACATTTCATTCGGATAACGCGTTTAACCTGCGCGATAAATGACGATAAGCGCTTGCGATCGATTTTTCGATAGAATTTCATCGTCCAATTACGATCAACTTTCATCGACAGTGTCGAACGAGGCCCCGGTGTCATTACTGCTACTTTATACTCGATTATCGTCCGTCTAGAGTTCTCGTTAAGATATCACTTTACCAGATATCGAATTTATCGATCGCACGACCAAGAAGAGGAACAACACGATCCTTTTCCTTTTACCATCACTCAGAGGACCGCAGGTGTGTACGTGTGATGGCCTTAAGGTAGACAGGTGCATGCACGAGGAAATAGATATTACGACTGTCAAAGAGTGACAGATCCACGAGAGAGAGAGTTTGTTTCGTGGCTGTTGCTCGCATTCCCTCTTCGTAAATGAACGAGGGCTATCTTTTGATCGTGTCACGTTAGTTTCCTTAATTATACAGCCGGGACACGTGTAGCATGATGCACCAGCAGCCAGTCTATCAACCTCTCTCTCATCTCTCTCTGTTACTCTCTCTGTTCCAAGCCGTGAGAACTCTCTTGCGACGATGTCTTTTGTCACTTTCTACACGCCTCTGTCGTTACGCAATCGATGCGGCAAGATTCTACGAAATACAGCTTGAAACCTGGCAAAAATTTCCCTTAAAATCCCCCCCGGAGAGAGAGAAACTCCTGGTGTTATCTGTAATTAACGGTGAGTTGGAAAAAAAAAGGAAAAAAAGTCACGTATTCGCGAGAATCTCCACGTACTTCGCTTACTTACTGTACGAGGAGAACGAAGAGATAACGAGGAGAAGAGGAGAGAAGACCGGCTAATCTTCAGCTGTGCCTGAAATATATTACGGATTCCGTTATCCAACTGGGCAGAATGCGGGAAAAGCAAAAACGATACCGGCGTGTATTTGCGACTTAACAAGCAGAGAGGAATCTCGTCAATGTTGATTATTTATTATGAATAATAACTTCGTTACCCAACCATGGCAGATATGTACGGCGACTCTTACTAATATTCGGACACTCTTTGGAACAGTATGACTTTTTTTTAATTGGACTTAACGACTTAAGTTTCTTTGAGAAGTTAGAAGGATCAGTGTACTAGATGACGCGTATAACACTTTTTGAAAAAATTGCAACTGGTGGAAATCGCGAAGAAAATTGTAAAGATCACGTTCGACAACTTTTCTTATCCGAGGCCGTAATGAAAATTTCAAAAATACGTTTTGTAGATTTGTGCCAATTATACGCATGCTGAAAATTTCATCGAAATCGGTTAATGTTGCTACGAGCTACAAATCGTTAAGGATTGTGAAAATCGCACTATTTCAGGACGTTCGGCCTATAATTGTGATAAATCTGAAGATTCCTACATCGATGCCTGTCGCTTGTTCCTCCATCCACCGATTTCGATGAAATTTTCAGCGTGTGTATAATTGACATAGATCTACAAAACGTATTTTTTGAATTTTCATTACGAGCTCGGATTAAAAAGTTGTTTTTCTTCGCGATTCCGACTAATTGCAGTTTTTTCAAAAATTCTTCACGACTTCACGAAAAAATTCAAGTCGTTTGATCCAATTCAGAAAAAGTTACACTGTTCTAAAGAGTGTCCGAATATTAGTAAGAGTCACTGTATACATACACTACCGGCCAAAAGTTTGGAATCACCGAGCATTGCAATTTGCACAAAAATTTGCAGAAGAAAGTCAGCAATTGATACGAGACAAATTGATAAAAGTAGAATTGAGATAAACTTGAAATCTACAAAAATCTAGCAGCAGATTTAATATTGATGAAAAGTGGGAGGTGATTCGAAACTTTTGGTCGTTATACGTGTGCACCGTTATAACTTCCAAAATATGCGTTGCACGAAAGAATGTGGATCTGTCCACTTATCTGTGATATAAGGTTAAATCTCCAACTTGATATTACGTGAAGAAAATTTTCAAGTAATAAAGTGAAATTACTCGTTAGCTATTAGGTTTAGGGCTAATAACGGTCGATACTTTCTTACTTACAATTCGATACTCTACCATATTTTGGTATAAAAAATATAGTATTCTGTTTAAAAAAACAAAGTTGACCTTCAAATCT